ATTCAGTATTTATAATTATTGTATGTACAAATATATTGTTTTTTTTCAAATACCTACATATGTTACAACAATTATATTGATTTTATTTTGATACAATACTTACAGTAAAATTATATAAATTTAAATTGTTAACAACGTTTGTATATACACTTGTAATAATAATAAGTTAACAAATAATAAAATTATGATTAATACGTACCTAATAAAACACATTGTTTTGTCACTCATATGAACAAGATGTTATTGATTATAAATAAATAATATCATAGGATGGTATCATATTATCACAAACATAATACTTACATGTTTAGAAAATTATGTGAAATATTTGAATGTTTAAAAACATAATATAGGAATCAATTCACTAAGAACAGTGAAAACATACCCGATTATACAGTAACGGGCGCGTGCATTGCATATACGCCGCCGCCGCGAGTAGGATCTTATGACGTCACGCGTTATTTTAAATACGTCGTAACTCGCAAACTATTCAAGGCAGAAAAACATTATTGGTGTCATTTTTTTAGTCAGATTTTTTGTGATTTTTTAAATACAATTCAATTTTAAGTGTTTTATGGTCCTTTAATATTTTGTAGAGCATTTAAAACAATAATTTTATTTATTGGTGGTAGTTTTTGAAACATGGGTAGACACAGAGTCTTGGCTCACCTGGGCATGTTGGGCAGTAGATATCAGTTTCCGAACGTTTTTTGGTTTTAATACACTCTTGGCATCGACGAACTTTTTTCTTTTTGTTTTCATTTCTTTCGACCATTTTTGGATAGTGATTTCCTGTTTTGGGTTGAGGAGTAAAACGTGGTGCTAAAGTAGTTTCCAGTCCTTCTTTTATCAATGTTTCAATGACAGATAAACGAAAATCGTATAAATTAAGTTTTGATCCACTATATCTGTTGAATAAATTATGGCTGTTTACTAAAATAATTTGGAGAATGTGAATACCTAGTTTTTTATACCATCTCATAGTTTTATGTTCACATGAGTAATAGGATAACATTTGATCTGAATGATCTATGCCCCCCATAAACTTGTTGTATTGAAGTATAGCTTTCGGTTTTGTAATTTGGTTTCCCTTTTTATTAATTTCTTCCACCAAAGTTCCGTCATATTCTGTTGATATTACAAGTACGTCTCTCCTATCTCTCCACTTCATTATACAAGTACCTTCTTGAGTAAACCTTTGAATCATTTCTCCTTTGTTTAAATGTTTTTTAATTACTTCTTGAGGATTATTCTTCCTATTTGCACGCAAAGTGCCAGTACAATATGTATTATTGTTTAAAAGGTATTGAGCTAACTCCACACTATTATAATAATTATCCATGTATATACTATGACCAACTCCTAATTTGCCTTCTAATAATTTTTTCACAACATTAGTTACATGACCTTTACCTCCAACTTCAGTATCATTTGAACCAGAATAAATTATACATTTTAAAACAAATCCCAATGAATCTGTCATAACATACATTTTAATTCCATATTTATGTCTTTTTCCGTGAATAAATTGACGAAAAACCAAACGGCCTCTCCACAGAACCATAGACTCATCTATAGCAAGCACTCTTGTTGGATATTGAATTTGATCGATATTTTCATGAAATATATCTAGAAGAGGGTTAATTTTATACAAACGATTGCTAGGTTGGGGCGCATCATCTTGTGCTGGATTTTTCGCAAAATGTAAACAACGTAAAATTAACATCCATCTATCTCTACACATACGAGAGTTAAAACATGGCAGGTCAAAAAGATAGCCCCTCTTCCAATAATCTTGTAGTCTATTCGTACGAATAGTTCCCATATGATAAAGAAGACCCAAAAATACTTTGAATTCAGCTACAGTTAATATTTTCCATTTGGTAATTCTAGATTTATCCGTTATATTTTCACTTAAAAATATTTCTTCAGCATAAGAATTAGTTTGTTCTACTATAAAAGTAAAAAGGGTTTCGTTCGCGCATAATTTAAAAAAATCATATGGGTTGTTACCTGCAGGTGAAACGATAAGACCTGTTGTACCAGTAAAAGGTATTGGTTGTGCCATGTATTTATCTTCATGCCAGACATCAGATCATTTGGTATATCTTGATTTTGTTGAACTACAACATTTGGTTCTGCCTGTTCTGGGTTTTCTTCCTCATCGTCACTACTGTCAATATATTCTCGATTACCTCCACTCCAACTACTTCCACTGTCAATATCTTCATCGGAAGACCAGTTCATAATATGGTTTAAATCCTCTGAAGTCAACATACCTTCCCTGCTCGTTGTTTTCCGTAATCTTTTGGACGGGCCCGCTGGATCATCCATTTTATTATCGACAGTTGAAAAAATAATTGTATAACAGACGAGAGACACGCACACGATTCACAGTACGAACAGAAATAAACTGAATAAGAAATCATACTATTCATAATATTATAAACAATTATATCGATGTACAAATGTACAATAATAGATTGCGATAACGATAATCGTAATTTTCGACCGAAAAAAAATCAACAAAATAAGTTATTTATAAACGGATTGGACTGAAATAACAAGAATTTTTCTGTGCAGAGGCGTGTGTAAAAATAAAAACATTACTGTAGTGCGTCACTATTTTATAGCACATTTAATTCAACAGACCTGATGTCGGCTATATCCGACAGGCGCACAGTTCATATACCTACGCGTCGGATATATCCGACAGACGCACCGTGAAAAAACAGGTCCGTCGGCTATAGCCGACAAACGCAGCGAATGTGTTAATGACAAAAACCCTAACCGAAGGCCAATGAGTGTTCAAAATCGACAAGTATTTGAAAATATTAATAAAACGATTTCAACATTCAAAGTAGCAAAAAAGTTATGTCACAAAAATAATGTAATATCAGTACCGCCCTGTTTTACAGGAATGATATTGTCTTTAAATGCTTTAATACTATTATACGAAACAGAAAAAAAATATATAATTGAATCATCGGACAGAAAAACATTTTTTTTATTCACTGGAAGATTAAACCAAGACCCACTTGAAAACATGTTTTCAATAATCAGACAAAAAAATGGGTATAACAGAAATCCGACTGCTCGACTATTTCGGACCTGTTTTGCAAGCATCTGTTCATTTACATTAATGAAAACATCGGAAAAATGTAACTGTGAAAATGATGATGATGAAAGCTTAACTGTTGACTTATTATCAGACATTAAAGCCGAAAAAAATATAAATGATCAACTAACAGAAAAAAATGAAGAAACTCCACATTTTGAATCACTAAGTGATTGTTCGAACTCGTCATCGAGTTCTCCTTTTTTAATTAATAAACTACCTGTACCGGCTGTATCTTTGGAGGAATGCTCTATAATTTACTTTGCTGGTTACTTAGCTAAACGCTGTATTGACAACTTTAAATGTAAAAACTGTGAATCATCAATCATTGAACAGGACATTTTAAATGACCCTAATCAATTATTGATAATCTTTAAAACTTTTGAAAATATAAGTTATCCAAATGCTCAAGGCCTGAAGAAGCCATCTAATTATCTTATTTCTCTTTGTAAAATTGGACTTAATACTTTCGCCAGAGTGTTTAATGACATTAAAAGTGAAAAACGGTTAGTATATCAGATGTTGCAGATTATATTGAAAGAGATTAATAAAAAATATTTAGTATTTGAACCCATGGAATGTAAAGATCACTATATATTTATGCTGAAACTGCTTCTTTTCACTAGAATATACAAAGAATGTAAATATTTAAGCAATGAGGAAAAGACCTATAAGCAAACTAATAAAGTTCCAGCAAAATTAAGAATTTTAACCAATAAGTAAAATTGTATGATTTTGTTTATTATATCGTTGTATAAATATAATATCGTTTATTGTTTATTATATTATGTATGTTTTTAGTTTAAGTATTTGTGACTCAACTCAAAATAAATTTACCTAATATTTGGCAATTCATCGGAAATTTAATTTAATGTAAAAATTTTATAAAATAAAATTTTATAAAACTTATAAATAATATGTTATTTAATATTGTATTGTAATTAAAATAATGAAGTTGGTATATTGGTAGTATACCTCTAAGAATTTCGGTAATAATATTTCAGAAATAACAATATTTGATCATAATTCAATTAGAGGACTCAATTAACTGATTTTAAAAATGATTAATTCGTTTGAGACTCAATTTATCTACGCTAAAGAATTTTAGACCTCCCAAAAAATGTTACTCTCATCACACCTATGGTCATCAATGATAGCGATCGATGATGATAATATTTTTTTTAAATATTGTGAGAATCGTGCGATGCGACAGTGGTTGACGATTAACTATTAAGTGCTTACGACTTACGAGTTACGACTACGGTAGTACGGTCTACGACGCTCGACGACGGTCAGCAACAATGACAATACGGCTACGATACTAGCGATCGGTGCGAAATCCGCCAGAAACAGGAACGCGATTATAGCGCTACATAGCGGCGTCCGCCACTTGCCGCGCAAACTAGTTTATACTGCAGTGAGCGATCTATAGTATTTATAATCAATGATAATATTAATTTTCTTAATATTTACTTAGTTTTAAATATTTAATTTAACAATTAGAAATCTAAATAATATTATGCCTACTTATTTTATAAGTAACTAATTAGTTAAAATTCTTCTTTTATTTAGCTTCTATTAATGTGTTTTTTTAAATGCGCAAAATTACTTATGGTGATATACTTCTTACTATAATAAATTAATAACAGTGTTACAGATTAGTTAGGTACAAAGCCCTCATTATATGCTTTTTATATGTAATTAAATTTTAGATTGTACATTTTAAGAAACATGTATTTATTGTACTGTTATATGATTGGTTTTATTTATATATATAATTTATTGTTATCAATAATGTAACTTATTCAACCTGCAAATTATATAAATTTAAAATGTTAAAAATATAGGTAAATAAGTTTTTAATACCTACTAAATAAGCAATATTTTAATAAAATTAATTTATATGTGATGAACTAATAGGTAGGTACAGCATATTATAAAATATTTTATTAATTTAAAACATATTAATAAGTAGTTGTAAAATACTGTATTAATATTGAGTCAGTTTGATTAGTATAATATATTAATTAATAATTTTTTGTCTACTTGGTATTTAAATTATTTAATCATACCTACCTATATATTATAAGTTTGGTGCACATAATTTAGTTTAAGTATTAAATATCTAATTGATCTTAATATTTATAATAAGTTAGGTATTATTATTTTATTACATATTAAGCACCAAAATAATTGTATTTCTTAAATTTTAATACTCTTACTAAAAATATAAATAATTAATTTAATTAGGTACCTATAGTAGTTTTGTTTTAAATAGATAAAAGCAGACATAGACAAAATGCCTAAACGAGATAAGTCAGTAATAAGGCGAAGTGTGAAACGAGAAATGACTATAATTAAAAACTTATACATGACCAGTAGTGTTAATATTAGTACAATAATAAATACAAATAACGAAGATCAAGTAAATTTTATAGTAAAATTATTATTCAGAAAATTAAATCAAATTGTAGGTAATCACCTAATATAGATTGTAAATTACAGATAACATACAACGAAGAAAGTGAACTATCTAACTCTGCATTATCTAATTTGTCGTCTCATTATTCAAATAATGAACAAAATGTGTGTCCTAACTCTACATCCCCAAATTTGTCTGATTTGTATTTACATAGGGAGGTAAATAAGCTTCCAAACCCTGTATCACCTTTTTATTCAAATAATGAATTTTCAAGTAAAGAAATGTTAGCACCAATAGGAAATAATTCTTTTGAAACTGACCTTGGTTGTTGGGCTACCGAATGTAATGTTCCACAAATTACTGTAAACAAATTATTAAAATTAATGAAACGTTATGAGCTAATAAAAACAGAAAAATTACCACAAGATTGTCGAACTCTTTTAGCAGGGCCTAAGTTAACAATAGGAAATATCCGAAATATTATTCCTGATCGCTATTACCATTTTGGGCTGAAAAGTGGCATCAAAACCTTTTTATCAACTAAATTGACTGAAATAAATCTTGCTATAGGGGTTGATGGGTTGCCTTTAACCAAAAGCAGTAACAGCCAATTTTGGCCTATATTGGCCTATATTATAGGTGTAGAAAAAACTGTGTTTCCAGTTGGAATCTACCATAGGTATACAAAACCAAAATGTACAAATACATTTTTATCTGACTTCATATTAGAAGCAAAAGAACTAATAACTGAAGGTATTGTTTTGAATGGAAGTATAATACAGGTTAGAATTAAATTATTAATTTGTGATGCACCAGCGAAATCATTTTTTTTAAATATCAAAGGCCATTCAGGATTTTATTCGTGTAGTAGAAGTATTCAAGAAGGTGAATATTATGAAAGACGAGTTTGTTTTCCATACTCCAAAAACAAGTCTGCTAAAAAAACACATAATGACTATGTAAATATGACATATGAAGATTCACATATTGGGACAATTTCAAACCTGGTAGAGTTGGAAGGTTTAGATGTAGTTAGTGCATTTCCTCTGGACCACATGCATTTGGTGTGTCTTGGAGTTACACGGAAACTTATTACTCTTCGGATGCATAAAGGACCAATGCAAACTTGACTTCCAAGTAAAAGTATTTATGCATTAAGTAAATCACTTCTAGATCTGAAACCATTAATTCCATCAGAATTTGTAAGAAAGACTAGACATATTCAAGACATCAGTAGATGGAAAGCGACAGAATTGCATCTATTTTTATTATATATTGGTGTTGTTGTACTTAAAGACATTGTAAATAAGAATATATATACTAACTTTATTAGTTTATATGTTTCAATGTTAATACTACTGAGTCTAGACCAGCGGTTCCCAAACTTATACGACCACGGCACCCTTAAAAAATTGTTTGTGTTTCGCGGAACCCTAATGTCTAATCCAACCCAACCACAATTTTTGCAAATTTAAAAAGGAAAATCAATTCCTTAAACTCTCAAGTCCAAATAATATTTTAAAGATACTGTTAATGACTTTTCATTATTAAACTTAGTTTAAAAAAAAATTTTCAATCAAACATTTTTTNATATGTTATTTAATATTGTATTGTAATTAAAATAATGATAATATTTCAGAAATAACAATATTTGATCATAATTCAATTAGAGGACTCAATTAACTGATTTTAAAAATGATTAATTCGTTTGAGACTCAATTTATCTACGCTAAAGAATTTTAGACCTCCCAAAAAATGTTACTCTCATCACGCCTATGGTCATCAATGATAGCGATCGATGATGATAATATTTTTTTTAAATATTGTGAGAATCGTGCGATGCGACAGTGGTTGACGATTAACTATTAAGTGCCTACGAGTTACGACTACGGTCTACGACGCTCGACGACGGTCAGCAACAATGACAATACGGCTACCGGGCTACGATACTAGCGATCGGTGCGAAATCCGCCAGAAACAGGAACGCGATTATAGCGCTACATAGCGGCGTCCGCCACTTGCCGCGCAGACTAGTTTATACTGCAGTGAGCGATCTATAGTATTTATAATCAATGATAATACTCACCGACTACCGAGCGTACAACAACACTATGGTTACCGAATATTTGTATCAATATGAAAATAAAATAAAATAAAATACTTGCAATCGACATAAAAATTACATAAACATTTACAATACTTTTATCTGATATTTTTTCGTTTTCCAAACTTCAATAACTTTTGATGAATTGTTATTATCGAAAAAAGAAAAACACTACGATACAGATCAATTCTCCTCTATTCATGGTGAAAATTTGATTTCTATAATATGGCTTCGATTTAATTTAAATGATAATAAAATATTTTTATTTGGGATAATAATATTATATTTTTCTTATTATATATTTATATGGCATTTTTAATAATAATATAATATTGGTATTCCATTTTATGTAATTACGTTCTTTAAATTTACTTTTTATTGGATCAAATTCAAAATTTTTCATGCATGTCATTTTTAAAATTAATTTTAAGGATAAATTGCTTTTCCAAATTGCGTTTTAATTATTTGCTTAATATTTTTTTTTGTTTCATTCTACTATTTTAAAGTTACTGCGTGAGGAATTTCTAATAGTTTGTACATTTAAAACTAATGGAGAAACGTTTTTAAAAAAATCAACAAAGGAATGCGTGGAAAGAAAATTTAAAATGTTGAAATTGGAAGGATGCGTGTATACATTTCAAGTCAATTTGATTTTTTTCACATCTATATACCAGAAAAATATCTATAAGTAGTTTTTGTCCTAATTCGATTGTTGGCACAGGTAATGTACTTGAATTTATTGTAGTGACTGAACTGTAATGTTCTTAACAAAAATAATCTTTAAATTCATTTAAATTTAGCCATTTACTGCAACTTGTTTGTGGTTCTAGTTCTTATGTAATATTTGTAGATATTTCTTCTGGTTTTATAATTATTTCTTTCTAATACCATTCCTAGAATCTATGAATTATTTTGAAATTATTTAGAATTGTTATAAAAAACTTTTTTTTAATTTTATATACTTTTTTTGTTAGTTGTCAGCTCAACATTATAGGTTATGTCTGATGATTGTTTCAAGGATAAATGTTTTCTGTGATTTTTGTTCTTTCAATAATAATAAGTTCTTGTTTTTCTATAAATTGCTTACTGCTAAGTGTAATTGTTCCGCAGTGTTAATGTCATATATGATTACACAAAAGTTTTATATGTAAATATATAAGCTTATATCATTAATATTAATGTACCTTATAAGTATCATCAAAAATTTTAATTTATCTTTTTATAATTTTTTCCCTTCTTTTATTTATTTATTTATTTATAATAGTAAACGGGATAGGCCCTTGACATTTATATAAAATTAATAATTAACAAAAATATAATACACTATAACATACATAATATTAACAGATAATAATGTAGTACAAAATAATTACACACAATAAGATGATTAGATGTTATAGGATCCATCATTAGCTAGTGCCATCATACGCAAAATGGGTTCATTATATAAGTAATTTGTCGCACAGAACGGGACCCGGAAAGGAGAAAAGTTGCGCAGATTAGCGCCGGGAACATTAAAATTAACCCTCCCTAACATATCTGGAGCGTCAACTTCCCCACTCAAAAGTTTCGATAAGAACACCAAATTAGCATTTTTCCTTCTAGTACTCAACGTCTCCATATTTAATTTCGCTAGAACTGGTGCATAATCATGTGGAAGGCAGTCAATACGAAGTACAAAAGAA